TGTTTCATTAAAGGGATCCTCGCTTTAAAGGGAACTAGAAGAGTCGGAGGGACTCGGCGAAACGGCTACGGTTACGATACTCATAATATTATCGTCGTGGATCTTGTTGTTTTAATCGTAATGCAAATGTACCCGAGCGTCGTTCTCTGTCCCGGAGTTTCTCTACTCCTCGGAGAAGACTCGGCTCGCGCGACTCATCGTCGTTCCTACGACGGCAAAATGGAAAGAGACGTTCGGTCGCGCGACGTTGAGAGAATCCTTAATCCTTCTCCATGCGGCGAGAGAAGCGCGGCCGGATTTTTAACAAGGCCCCTTTGATCTTCCGCGTCTTTCGATCGGGCCGATAAACGAGAGTTAATCGACCATGGATATTGTAATTTCCAGCAAGTTCTATTTTGTTGTAAATTATCGACCGCGCGTTCTTCTTTTGGAATATTCAGAGCCGCGCGCGCGCGCGCGCGTATATGTACGATTGCCACCGCAAATAATTATATTAAATTACGAATGACCAATTTGAATTTCATATGAGCCTCGACGAATGCTATCGGTCGATCCTCGCGGAAGAGAGCCGCGCGTCCGGCGGGAAATTAATCCCCACCAATTACCGATCACGATCGATCGCTTCGCCGGAGTGCGCAAGAATTCATTAATTAAGATCCGTCTCTTCCCATACATATATACATATCTCTCTCCCCCCTTCCCTTCTCCCTCCCTCCCAATCGAGTGAGTCTTGATTCAGCTGAAACGTCGATAGCCACGAATGGACTGTCACGTCCGGACGGACAGCGTGCCCGGGACTTCGTTACGTCTCATACAGGGTGCTTCCCTTTTTCCGATCTACTTTTCATCCGCAGACTCTCGATCGAACGTAGGCTGATGGAAAACGATGGAAAAAACACCGTGGAGACTCTATACGGAGAAATGTTTCAGTATATCTTGAAACATTCGCATCGTAATTTTCGTTATGAACGCAGTACGATGTAACTACAACTTGTATCAAGTGAAATTGCAAGATTTCTTCCTTCCCGCAATAAAACTCGGTTATTCTGTGTTCTGCAACAAAATAGTCGGGCAATCACAATAATTTCGTGATAACAAGTCGAACGTGCATCATATTTTTCAGTAAATACATAGCAACTTGAGTCGCAGTCAGTATGATAGACAACAATTTAGTTGCAATTTTTACCGCGATACTTTCTCCGTGCATACGTTGGTCGGAAACTGTGGCGATATCAAACTATGAGAAAATCTGACGATTATCTGCGACGATAACGGCCGACCATATGTGTCGTAAATTAATTTGCGACGCGTATGTTAGGTTTCCGGGGTCTCCCGGTTGCTTTGTGATCACGGATGTACGTGTGTGTGTGGGAGAGTAGGCGCGCGCAAAATTTCCAAAACGTGCCAAGCCCCGGCCATGACTAATTCTTCCTTCGCGCGATTCCGCCCTCAACTTTTATTATCCCGGGCGATCCCGACGACGTTCCCCGTGAAATTCCGGCGCGTGCTCATCTCCCGTTTTCTGCGACTGACTTTTAAGCCCGTGTCACACTGTGGATCGGAAACTACGGACTGCAGATCGAAAATTGGAACTTGATCAATTGGAGCAAAGCGAGTCGAGACCGAAGTTGATTGATTCGTCGAGATCTTATCTTCAATCCGCGATCCTCCATCTCCAATCCGTAGTGTGACACGAGCTTTACGGTGATCAGCCCTTTTCTTCCACCCGCGTGAACTCGCGTCGGCGTAGAGTCGCGCTTCTCTCTTTCACTTCTCCGTCAAAAGGCGAAAGGGAACGGCCCCGTCTATTCGCTCTAACGCAATAACCGATCCCTAAACCGTTCGATCTCACGGCGATATGATACGGTGCGCGTATGCTTATAAATATCGCAACTCATGACTTACATTACTCGGTAATATCTGCCGAGACTTAGTCCGTCTCCTCCTCCCACTTGCGTCGCTCGATGCATATACATAGACGGTAATGCATAAAGTTATCTCGCTGTTTAAATTATGCATTATATACGCGTCGCGCGTTACAAAGTTGGAAAAGCCGTCGAAAGTTCCATGAAAATGCCGTTCCTTTAATGACGCGGCGATTAATGGCGCGAAAATGTCTCTCTGCTCTCGCGAGTCACCTTGCGAGACACTCGCAATTAGTCGAGCGGTACGTCAAAAGCGCGCGCGCGCGCGCGCGGATAATAATGCAACAATAATAACGAGCGGCAACTTTGTCGGTGTACCGGCGGACGCAGCGAGGAGGGATCGGCAGTAACAACAATCGCTGGCTGCTGGAATCGTGTCTGAAATAATGCGCGTACGCGACGCGCGCACAATTATATGCATATTCGTCCGTCCGCGACACGCAAGCGTTTCCTTTCCGTCGGCTCGGTCACGCGAGTAGAGGAGAAACGAGAGAGACGGCCGAACGGCCGAAAAAACGACTCGCTGTCTGCGCGTTCTCGCTAAAATTGCCGCTACACATTCGACGTCGAGAGAGGAAATAACGGGTGGCCTCCACAAGTGGTGGCGGTGGTGGAGGAGCGAGGACTACATCGGGATTCGCACAAAGGACAAGCGGTCACGAGGCCGAGTGCAATCATTTCAGACACGCGGCAGAAAATGGGAACGGTTGACACAACGGGGCGCGCGTCTACGCGAGTAGTCGGGGGTGCGGAGGACAAAGAGTGGCGGAGAAGGACGAGACACAGGACGAGCGACGCGACGCGCGCCGTCTCATCGCGCCGGGTGATCAAAACACGAAGGACAAGGCGTCGGAAAAACGGGGAGGCCGACCCCCTCGGCTCGCGTGCATAACGGCTCGCGGCATGAATTAAACATACGCGATCCGCCGGAGGTTAAGGCGAATGCCGCGGCAAGGCGCACAGGGACGACGAGGGGGCGGGAATGAAAAGACGTACACCGGCGAAATTGGAGTTGGACGACGGCAGGAGGGGAGAGACGAAAGGGAGAAAGAGGGAAGGAAGAGAGGAGCAGAGAGAGCTCGTATCTGTCAGAGGCTTCGGGCGCTGCGGTACTTTCGGGTTCTTCGATAATCTCGCGCCAACGTTCACTTGAATCGAACACATACAGGACGATCTATGGGCTGTAAGGAGAGAAGGAGAGGAGGAGCGGGAGAAGAGGGGCGGCAGAGGGTGGATATCGATGCCTCGACATTGAAACCGTCGTCGTCGATCTTCCCGTCTCGTCTGCTTTCTGGTATATGTATCGATGCTATGGGCAAAGTTCGCGCGCCAAGCATCCCCTACGCGTATATATCATCCCCAACTAGCTGCTCGCAGCGTCCAGTCCTAAAAGCGCGTGCGAGCCTGCCCAATGACTGGAAAGACAATGGTTGGAGTTTACGAGGCACGAAGACCGCCTGGAACTTCGCCCCGACATCGAGCAGTACGAGGAACTCGAAACTCACCCCTCGACACAGAGAGAGAGAGAGAGAAAGAGAGAGAGAGAGAGAGAGAGAGAGAGAGAGAGAGAGAGAGAGAGAGAGAGAGAGC